ATTCAAGTTACATTCTGTGTATTTCCGATTTTCGTATTATTTTAAATAAGTGCTCAGAATTCCCGCCAAGAATATGGGAAATTGTTGGTCACTTTCATGTTCTCTAAAAAGTGAATGTATTAGCTATACTCGTAGATGCACTCAAGCGTTGCCAGGTTGTTAACTATTTTGGTCATTCTTGAATTGAACGTCTCAACTTGTTGACAGACTTCTTAGCCGGCCAAAACAATACTTCATTTGCAATACAACAGACAAAATATGAAGTGCATTACACCTTAAAACATTTGTCTGTATATTTCATAGACCTCCGAATTTGCCGTTTTCTGAAAGTAACGTAAGTGTACAAATTAACTACACTGGTTTACATAACAATCGTTGATGTGTAATAACACATGACCAAGTGTTGAATGATAAATATGAATCGATGCCATGAGTCATCTCTCTCTCTAATGTCTGCAAAGCAGTAGGAAGGGATATTTTGAAGCCCTATTGAGTTGTTAACTTGTTCAAACCGACCTTGGTTATTTTTAGCTTCAGTGTTAAGAAGAAACGGCAATAAATAGACCATATATTAAAGGTTACAATCAAATCAATTTAAACCTTCGGCAGTTACCTAAACCTGCATGATGATAATGAGCAAGTAAACTTAACCCATGAGAACGTAGTTCCATTAAAACTGCACAAATTTCGATTCAAGTTGATAAGAATAATTGGAGAAAATTCTTAATTTGCTCATTCATACTGCATTCAACCGCAAGGATTTTAGAAGTCTGAAGGTTTCTGACGGTGTTACGTTATGATAAGCGGCTAGCTCATCCGGGTGGCAACAGATAGGGCTTCTATCATCTTTCCCCTTTTTTAAATAAAGGCGGAAGCAGAATCCACCTTCCGAAACGTTGGGGTTTTATTACTTAATAATTAAGACAATGGACAAAGTCCAAGAGAACAATTTTACACACCCCAACTGCTTCTCATTAATATGATATACAGATCTTGCCATTGCCGTTACAGAACTCCAGAAATATTCACAATCCGCCCTGTTTTAAGACCTGAGAATGCCTCATCGCTTGAAATAGTTGTTTGCTAAGAGAATTATACGTAGTTTGTACCCCACAAACTAACTAAAAACTCAAAGATGAAATTTTATGTTATTTTATAATTTTATGTGACGTTACTTCATTCTATTTGTTGTTTTGTATGGACTTAAAACATGATCTCTCACATTACTAAAATAAGGCTGACTGATAATTATTTTAAACAGATTGCTGAGGAGAATATTTGGATTTGAGAGGTAGAAGTTAGTAGGAGGCTGGAGAAAACTGTACATTTAGGAGATAAATAATCTGCACTCTTCTACGGTGATCAAATCACGGATAATTAGATGGATGGGACATGCAACACGCATAAAGGAGTTGAGAAATGTATACAGAATTCTAATTAGAAGACCTGAAAGGATGGGACAACTTCGAATAAATAATAACAGGCATTTTAAAGAAAAAGGATCTAAGTTTTTAAATTGGATTCATCTGACCCAGGATGGGGAACAATGGCGAACTCTTTTGAACATGACGTACAGGTTCCATAAAAGCCAAGAAATTTCTTGAACAGCTAAGCGACTATTAGCTTTTCAAGAATGACTTTACTCCATGTACTTATTTAAAAGTATGATACGAGGTATTGCTTCGGATCTTACACGTGAGGGCCCCCGAACCCGCATACTTGTGCACCTGAAGGAACGAAAAATCTGTTTCGTGTGTCCGCCCGACTATCTCCGTCTGCTCGCAGCTTGTACTAGTAACACGTGCCATGATGAGGTTTATACACTACAGAGCACAGCAAACTGATGTTACCAGATTCCTGTGTTGCTCAACCATTGCTGGTATGGTCGCCACATTCACTGGACCTTAACCAAATGCATATTTGAATTTGGTGGCACTGGGGGCGCTGTGTGTAAGCCATCCGCGAGAACGTTGTGGGTATCGGAGCAACTGAGCCCCTCTTCCTGACAAAACGAAATGCGTGAAGGTCGCCGTACTGATACCCAATGTGGCATTTTCCTACCGGTTATGTTCAACTCTCAACATAATGGTAGAATGCTACAGAACACAGCAATTCTAGGCACCCCTTACAT